TGCCTGCCACTCCCCCTGCTTGTGCGCGCACTCTCTTTCTGACAAATAAAATCTTTTTTAAAAATAATAAAATAAATAGGGCGCCTGGGTGGCTCAGATGGTTAAGCGTCTGCCTTCGACTCAGGTCATGATCCCAGGGTCCTGGGATCGAGTCCCACATCAGGCTCTCTGCTCCTTGGGAGCCTGCTTCTCCCTCTGCCTCTCTCTCTCTGTCTCTCATGAATAAATAAATAAAATCTTTAAAAAAATTTAAAAATTAAAAATATCTTCATTGGTTTTTCTGATAGTACATGATGATTGTAAAAAAAAAAAAAGAGTTGTTAACCTTAAAATAAAACTGTCAGCTATTTTACCAGCAAAAATGGGTTTATTCGGGAATAGCAGAGAATTGCGATTCAGGACACACAAGCTACTACAAAACCATAGGCAAGTCACAGAACGAAAAACAAGAAGGCTCTTTTACAGAGGAAAGAGGGGAGTTGGGAGTGCTGTTATAAACAAAGTCCATTGGAGCAAACCGGGAGTTCAAAGTATAGTGGCTTTTCATTGGCTGAGTTGTCTCATTGGCTAGGCTGTTGCTGGGAGAAGAGGAAAACCTTTTTTCCCCCTACTGGGATAGTGGCGTCCACCTGCAATGTCCCTCTCTTCCTGTTGGGGTCTACAACTGATCAGGAGTGGTAGGGCGCGAGAGCTCCCCCTGCTGGCCGCCTGACTCGATTTTAGTGAGTTTTCCTTTTACTAATTTTCACAGAGTGAATTAAGAAAAAACCTAGTCCTAGTCTCTCCTCCTCCTGTATAGGAAAAACAACCCAGCTCTACCTTCTCCTGTATGTTTCTCCTTGACTTTTACACAGGACACTTAACTTTTGACACTTCTGGTCACCAAATGTTGTGGGAGGGGAGCAATTCCCCACAACAAGCAATTCTCTGCAACACCAGCTGGGTTTCCTACAACTTAACTTACTTCTAACACTGGCTACCTGTAGATAGTGTCAGATCCCACGGATCCCATCTGCCAGAGAAAATCCCATCTGCCAATCCCAGTCTGTGGTGAGGGGAAACCCCAAGAAGGTTTTTGGGGGCAGGGAGTTCAGGTGTGCCAACAAAAAAGGGAAATATTGAAGGGGTATCAGGCAGCCCAGTGACTGGCATAGAGTAGGAGTGAGATGCTAAGAATGGGATACAGAAACCTCGTGTGAAAGTATCTGAAAGTTCACACTGGTGCTCACATGTCAAGAGTGCAAAACACTGATATCTATTTCATACCCTTAGTGTGTTGGATTTCTGGGACAGTGCCTGCCCTTTTATCACCTTTTCTAAAAGTATAAGCACTGATAAATGGAAACCACCTCCCTTCTTTGGCTCTTTTTTTTTTTTTTTTTTTTAATAGACTTTAAGATCACAGCATAATTGAGAGGAAGGTGCAGGGATTTCCCATATACCTCCTGCCCCCACACATGTAAAGCTTCCCGCATGATCAACATCCCCACCAAAGTGGTACATTTGTTACAACTGATGAAACTTCACTGACACAGTTATCACCCCAAGTCCATAGTTTACTTTAGGGTTCATTCTTCGTGTTGTATATTCCATGTTGTAAAGACTCACATATTCCATGTTGTAAAGATACATATTATAGTATCATACAGAAGAGTTTCATTGCCCTAAAAAAAATCCCATGCTCTGCCTATTCATCCTACCCTCCCCTCTATACCCTGATAACCATTATCTTTTTACTTCATAATTTGGCCTTTTCCAGAAATGTCATACAGCTGAAATCATACACTGTGTGACCTTTGTAGATTGGCTTCTTTCACTTAGTGATATGCATTAAAGTTTCCTTTTAGTGCTGAGTAATATTCTGTGGTCTGGAACCAGTTTATTTATCCATTCACCTACGAAAGGACACCTTGATTCCTTCTAAGTTTTGGCAATTATGAATGAGGTTGCTATAAATATCCAAGTTTTTAACTCCTTTGGGTAAATACCAAGGAGCATGATTCCTGAAATATAAGAGAATGTTTACTTTTGTAAGAAACTGCCAACCTGTCTTCCAAAGTGGCCATGCCATTTTGCATTCCCACCAGCAGTGAGAATTCCTGTCGCTCAGTATCTTCGCCTGCATTCATTGGCCATCCTCCAGATTTTGGCCACTCTGATATGTGTGCATTGGTATCTCGTTGTTGTTGCTGCTGTTGTTGTTGTTGTTAATAGACTCCATGCCCAGTGTGGAGCCCAGTACCAGGGCTTGAACTCACAACCCTGAGATCAAAACCTGAGCTGAGATCAAGAGTCAGATGCTGAACTGACGGAGCCATCCAGGCGCCCCTCTCCTTCTTGTTTTAATGTGCATTTCCCTGGTGATATATGATGTGGCACATCTTCTCATACGCTTGCTCGACAACTGTATATTTTCTTCAGTGAGGTGTCTGTTAAGGTTGGTTCTGTTTATGTGGAAAATAAAAAACAACACCTTTTCCCAATGTATTTTTCTTCTCAATGCTTTTCTGTAGTGCTCAATTTTTTTCACAGTGAAATTTTATTTTTACACGAAAAATAAAGCTAAAAGAAACAATGTGGTTTTTAAAAAAAACGGGATGAGGAGGGGCACTTGAGTGGCTCAGTCCCACTCTTGGTTTCAGCTCAGGTCATATCTCAGGGTCATATCTCAGGTCATATCTCATATGCGCCGGGCTCCACGCTTGGCGCAGAGTTTGTGTGAGATTCTCTCTCTCCCTCTCCCTCTACCCCTCCCCTCAGTTGTGTTCTCTCTAAATAAATAAATAAAATCTAAAAAAACCCCACCAGGGTGAAAAAGAAAAAAATTAAAACTTAAATAAATACATACACACATACACATGGCTCAGTCAGTAGAGCACAGGACTCTTGATCTTGGGGTCGTGAGCTAGAGCCCCACGTTGGGTGTAAAGATTACTTAAGGAAATAAAAAAAATAAAAAATAAAAATAAAAATAAAAGAAACCACGGTTGGAAAGAAAAGGGCCTGAGCATGAAGACAGTTGCTTATGTCTGCAATGCCCCTCCCCACTTAAGCCTTTACAGAAACACAGAGCCACACAGAACACACCCGACCTATTTCCTTTGCTCAGCACCATTTAATGTGTTCAAGAACAGCTTTTTTTCTTTTTTTTAACTCAAAATAGGAAACATCACAGTCTCTTAGGAGCAATACATTTAATACAGTCATAAAATTTTAAATGAAAAACATGTATTATTCATGCTACAGGTTTTCAATCCTCCTTGGACAACACAAAAAAACACAGTACTCAAACTGCACGTTTTCACAGGATGAACATGAATCTCACTTGGACACAAAGAAAGACTACAAAAAAATTGAAACCAACGTTGAACGAACCCAGCAACGGCAGGATTCCTGACATTCCCCCATCCCATTCTCCCCTTGAACGCACACCACTGCCTGCTCCCCAGCATTTCTTCCTTCCTGCCCAGCAGCTCAGTAACATGTCAGACACCAAGACGTGTGTCATGAATGAGTGCTACAGCATGCTTAAAAAACAAAGGCCAACTTATTAATTGAATGTTGAAAGAGGGGATTAAGACGAGGTGAAACAAAATCTAGGGGAAACGGTGGGGCACTGTCTTACTCACTTCACACTGATTTCAGAGCACAGGAATTGTGCTCAAAGGTTAGTATAGGAACTACAGATACCAAGAAATATCCCATTGTTTATAAAAGGAAGACTGCACCAATGTCTACAAAGAGCTTATAATACCATGGGAAAATATTTAAGTTATAAAGTTATAACTAAGAAGGCAGAATACAAAACTGTATATTCAGTATGATCTCAACTATGTAAAACCAAACCAATCACAAGATGCCCTAAAAAGGCCAAAGTTCAAAATGTTTTGGGGCTGTATTCAAGTAGTGTATCTACAGTGATCTTTTTTTTTCTTTTACTTTACTGTCTTTACCAAAATTTTCTCTACTGGGGGGATTTTTTTTTTTTTTTTTAACTATTAGTTACCAAAAAAGAAAGCCTGACAGAAGTATTGAATTTGAGTTAATCAATTTAAGTCCAGCCTATAAGAAAGGACTTGTACATTTATGAAACTATAAAACATTTCAGGCTACTCCCTGAATCCATTATGTGTTATGAGTAACTTCCGAGAAGTAGAGGGTCTCTGCCTCTCCTCCAGCCAGGTGCAAAGTGTCACTAGATCCTACCTGATGAAAAATGTTGAACTAAGAGCCTTGCAAGTCCAGATGAGCCCGCAAGTGACTCCCCTTAGTGGTCTCCACTGCCCCAACACCACTGGCCCCTGGTTAAAACATTGGCAGCATTAAAAAAAAAAATGCTAAGCCAAACAGAAATGTAGTGGATTTACAAAAAAGTAACAGAAATACCCACACTTAGCAAAAACCTATTTACAGTACAGTAGTAGTTCCTTAATACTAGAACTAAACAAGAGGACAGCTATTTTCTCCTACCTTCTGTGCCGACATCAAGTTTCAAAAAAGCGATCATCACAATAACTGTAGAAAGCTAATCCTGGTTTAGAAACAAATAAAATAGAACTACAACAACAGCGGACAGAGAAAAGGCAGAAAATTTAGAAAGTTATAAAAAGTGCTTTCTATAAAAGTGATTCCCTTTAAAACATTTGTTTACTCTATACACTGTAAGGTCCCCACCTCCCCACCCCCCCAAAAAAGGGCAAAACCTCCAAACACTTTCTACCAAAGTATCCACTGGTTTGTTCATTCAACAAACATTGACTGAAGGCTATCATAATGTGTGAGGCACTGGGGTCTCAAAGAGAAGACAGACTTGTCCCTGCCTCAAGGACATCTCTGTCTTCTCAAAGCAGGAGGCGGACACATCGCCAACCACAACACAGCAATTAAAAGCAGATGCTACTGCTTTCTTACAATCAAAGAATATGCTGCAATTCTTATTGAATTACTTACACAAAAGTCCTTACATAGAAACTTTCCTGACTTACTAGGAGGCAAAAATGCAACTACCCAATGAATACTTCTAGAAGGGGGCAGGCATTAAATTGCATTTTGTGATATTTGCCCCTAAACATCACAATGGCTAGTGAAGTCAGTTAACTTTCCTTTAAGCAATGGAGGATTTTTTATCTGAGAATGAGACACCTTGAATCTGAGAATAAGTGACCAGTCCTAAGCGTAGATCAAGACTAGTCAGTACCATCAAAGGCTCAGACTCAGGAGTGCAAATTTCAATTAAAATCCTCAGTCTCCCCTTCCAGCCGTTGATTTTCAATATGCTCCTGTGTCAGCCGCTCCAGGTCTTTCCTTACATTCGGGTGGTCTTCCAGATCTTCATAGAGTGATCTCACGATGTCCAGTCTCCTGTAATTCTCAGGCTTGACTAGGCTTCGGACAACCTGGAGGCACCGCTCTTTCAGAGTATATACTGTAAATGCAGAAAACCAAATCCTCAGCAGCAGACTCAAGCCTTGGGACAAGGGATGAGCAAGAGGCTTTGCCAACCATAGCAATTCCATTTACTATAGACAGACCTCACTTTGGGCAAAAAAAGTGAGTACGTGTGTGGCAGAGTATAACGTGATGGCCCTAATGGACATCTCATGGTATGCAGGACCTCATGTAGTAACTTCCCCTTACAAGTGGGCTGGGCTTGTGATGTGCTTTAACTAAATGAATGTGGGTGACGTAACAGACACTGTGCCAATTCTGAACCTAACCTTTAAGAAGCCCTGGCAACTTCCACTTTTACACTCTCAGGAGCCCTGAGCTACACTGCACGAGAGACTACACAAAAAGGAACAAGCCCTGAGAATGCATGGGAGAGAGGCCCAGCCGCCAGCCAACCTGCCAGCAGTCAGCCACACCAATGACCACCAATGAGCAGAATAACCACCTATCTGAGCTCAGCCCAGACTGCAGAATTATGAATAAATACTTTGGGGGTAGCTGTTAACACAGCAATAGATAACCAAAATAATCTGTAACTGGATTTTGAGGAACTCCAGTTCTATTTTAAACTCACTAGGGAACTTACTCTTTAAGGGTATCCTATAAGGCAAAATTTACATTTATCAATTTAACTTATCAACTTATCTATTTTTGTACACCTACTTCCTTAAAACAGGATCCACATATACGTATCAGTTTGATCCGTATGAAGCTACAGGTATTTGGGTTTGTTTTTAAGATTTTATTTTTAAGTAATCTCTGTACCCAACTTGGGGCTCAAACTCACAACCCCAAGATCAATAGTTACATGCTCCACCGAGTAAGCCAGCCAGGCGCCCTTGTATTTGGGGTTTTTTAATCCACAAGAACATAAGTTTCTTCGGGTTCAACCTAATAAAATTAATTGAGTTTTAAACAAATGGTAAACTATGATGTTAATGTTCAATTCGGTGATTTTTTTAAAACTGTTTGGCACTGTGAGCTTGAATGGGTTAAATAACATTAAAAGATACAACACTAGAAGCCATGGTATCTCATTCTCTATACCTTATTCCAGACTCCAGTGCATAATTCTGCTCTAAGGCCAGGTAAACAACACATTCATAATTCTACGATCAGGTATTTTATTTACTTATTTATTTTTTAAAAATTTTAAGTACTCTCTACGTGGGGCTCGAACTCATGACCCCGAGATCAAGAGTCACATACTCTACCAACTGAGCTAGCTGGGGGCCCCTACAATCAGATATTTTAATTTAGCCCACCTCTGACAAGCCCAAGAGCTTCTGAGAAACCACAACATCTTTGTTCAATATAGAGCATACAAATAAATCTGTTCCATTTTATTTGTGGTGGAGAATAGGACACAGAAAGGTTGATAATTTGGCTAGCATCCAGTAAAAACCAATAAAGGTCTGGTTCCTTCAAGTGGCCTATTCTCTACTTATTACAACAGCCTTATCTTTTTATTTATTATTTTTACTTATTTATTTATTTTTAAGTAATCTCTATACCCAATGTGGGGCTTGAACTCATGACCCCGAGATCAAGAGTCACATGTTCTACAGACTGAGCCAGCCAAGAGCCCTCAGCCTTATCTTTTTAAAAGTAAGATGGAGGGGTGCCTGGGTGGCTCAGATGGTTAAGCGTCTGCCTTCAGCTCAGGTCATGATCCCAGGGTCCTGGGATCGAGTCCCACATGGGGCTCCTTGCTCAGCGGGACCTGCTTCTCCCTCTGCCATTCCCCCTGCCTGTGCTCTCTCTCTGACAAATACATAAATAAAATCTTAAAAAAAAAAAAAAAGGTAAAATGGAACATCAGTACCTGGCAGTGTGATGTTGGCAAAAATAGGCTGTCCATCAACATTGAGAGATGGCACAAACAGCTCAGTCTGGTTAACCAGAAGCCCATCATATGTCCCTGCATCTCGGAAGAGCCAAAGGTGACCTGTTAAAACAAGCAGAGGCTGTTAGGTAGCCACACACCCATTTCCTTCATCTTCCTGGACTGACACTGAAGTACTTGCCTCTCATTCTGCTTAAATATCGGACAAAGCCCTTCCAATAATATTATCTTACTCAATCCTCACAATAGATCTATTTATATGAGAGAAAATAGGTCTAAAAAAGCCAAGCGACTTGCTCAAGGGAACAGGGACAGTAAGGGAAAAAAAGGCGTGTACTTGAGGCTCCAAATACTGTGCCTTTTCTGCTACCATGGTCAAAAAGCAAAGTACATGAATTGCAAATCACACCACACACTGCAAACTAAAACAAAGAACTTCACCAACTCCTTACATCTGTGCTTCTCAAGAACAAGAAAGTGCAAAAACATCATGTTGACAAAAAGAAGCCAGACAGAAAAGGGTACATTCTGTAGGAAAAGACACAGGAGGGAACTTTCTGAAATGATGGAAATGTTTTAATATAGAATTTGACCTAGGTGTTGCTGTATTTGTCAAAAATACATCAAACTCTTAAGATCTGTGCATTTTACTATATGTATATTATACTTGAATTTAAGAAACAAATACATCATATGCCAAGAAAAAAGAGGGAGGGGAAAAAGGAGGGAACCACCCCCCCACCCCACCCCCACCCCCCGCCCAGACCTAACATTCTATTAAGGGAGGTAGAGATTGTGTCTGAATAAAGACATCATTAAAAATTAATCAATTAACTAATTAGTTAAATACATCATGTGTTCCTAGGGCACAAACTTACTTGAAGATTTGGTGGAAAAACTTAAGAAATGTAACTGGTAAGTAATTTTTTTTATTATGGTAAAACATACATAAAATTGACCACTTTTAAGTGTACAGTTCAGTGACATTAAGTACATCCACATAGTAATTTTTTTTAAATTTTATATTAAATCAGGCACAAATTTTGGAGAAGAAATTCACAATTTCTTAGATAAAATAGGAGACTACAGAAATGTTGATCCCTGGAAGAATTGTGTTCTCCCTCATTTAATATCAAGGGAAGTTTGGTGTAAACATTTGAAAAGCATTTCTGAGTACGCCCCTCTCAAGGCAAAAGGATCCACTGGGATCCTCCCAGGACGGCTGTGAAAAATAACCGAGTACTACTTCTCTTTTTGAAAGCTATGGGAAGATCACTGTCTCCTTAGCTATAAGGCCGAGTTATCCTTCACCTGGGTTATTACAACAGCTTCCTAACTGGCTCCTCACCAGCAGTCTTCCCTCTCCAAGCCGCTGTGCAACCCGGGGGGAGCTTTTCAGTATTAAAATCTGTCACTGTCATTTCCCTGCTTAAAAACGCAATGGCCCCTCACTCCGCAGGGGAAAAATCATCTTTCAGGCTTCCTCTCCCACCATTCCGTACCTTCTCCCAAGACTCCAGGTGTTGTTAGCCCAAGCGGTTCCCTCTAGCTACATCTCTCAACTCCTATCTTGTGTCGGTTACCCCCTATGCGTCCAGCGGGCCTCCTTTTCTTCCGCTCAGGGAAGCTCTAGGTGAAACTACACACCCCCGTCCTTCACTGAGCAGGAGCCTGCTCCAAGCTCCCACTTTCCGCTGTGCTCCGTTCCCCTAGCAGCAACTGGGACACTGGCTGGTTATGTGTGTGTGCGGTCGTCCGTCCCCGCCCCCGGCCTGTGTTCTCCCGGAGGCAGGGACCTGGCCCACTGGGGACCTTGGAGAATGTGACATTCTCCCATTCACGGACTGAACTAATAGGCATTAGGTAGGGAGCACTTTTAGTGGTAAACACACGTGTAAGGGGGGAAAGTCACCTCACATGATCATTATTCGGTCCTATAGAGAATTCGCTGCCACTTCCTCGCAGCGTCAACCCGGATCTGTCACAACCTCTCAGGGGCACCGGCAGGCGCTCGCTGCGCCCCGGGACAAAGGGGTTGGCGCGGTCGGGCTGGGCCGGGCCAGGCCGGGGCGACCCCGGCCCGCCTACCTCGGTAGCTGTGGATGCGGCGGCCCGTGCCGGGCGGCAGCGTCGGGTAGGGCTGCGGCTCGCCGTCGAAGTTGAGCCACACCGGCAGCACGACGCGCGGGCTGCGGTTGCAGAAGATGACCTGCGACGGCTCACAGGAGTTCACTGAGCGCAGCACCGGCCGCGGCTGCCCGGCCTCCATCTCCTCCTCGGCGCCCGGCTCCTCGGGGTCAGACTCTTCCGGGCCGGACTCCTCGGCGCCCGACTCCTCCCCGCCGTACTCTTCCGGGCCCACCTCCTCGGCGCCCACCTCCTCCGCACCTGCCTCAGCCTCTTCCACGTTCCCTGCCTTCCGGGGCATCACCTCCCGGAGCCCAGACAACCCGAGCCTCGCCGCCTCGGGATTTGCGGGCCTCACGGGGCGGAGCTGAGCGTGCGTGCGTGCGCGTCCCCGCAAGCGTGCGTGCTCTTTTCGCGCGCCCTCGGTCGGGGATGGAAGAGTGTGCAGAAAGGGCGGGCTTGAAAGTGTGCGGAAGCGCAGGTGGGACCTCCGGCCACGGGAACCGAGCTTGCAGGAGGCGGAGGCTGGTGTCAGGCTACTTCAGCCGCGGGTTTCCTCTATAAAATGGATTTTTTTTTTCTCGCACCAGTAAGCTTTTGACACAGCATTTCCTTGACTTCATTCATTCTCTCTCTCTCTTTTTTTTTTTTTTAAGATTTTTATTTATTTATTTGACAGAGACAGAGACAGCGAGAGCAGGAACACAAGCAGGGGGAGTGGGAGAGGGAGAAGCAGGCTTCCCGCTGAGCAGGGAGCCCGATGCGGGGCTCGATCCCAGGACCCTGGGATCATGACCCGAGCTGAAGGCAGACGCTTAAGGACTGAGCCACCCAGGCGCCCCATTCATTCTCTTGATACCTTCATGGTTTTTGCCATATTCTCCCTACCATATGCGCTATTATTTATTTAATAAATTTCTCGTTCGTTTAGTCTACATTTTGGGTCAACTCGAATTTTGTATGGAAGAGTATAATAAAGTCGCAAAATTTGCCTTATCTTCCTAGTTTCCCCCAGCCACCCAGGAAAAGTACGCGGAGGCGAGAAGTACAACAAGTTTTTTGTACTTCCTTTTAAAGGTATTTTCTGTACGCACACAAAGCAGTTTAAGAAATTTTAGATTACTACCATCAGTGGAAATTCGCTCTCATTTGTCGCAGAAGAGTACAGTGGAACTAAGTTCAAAGGAAACAAAACAACAGTTATTAAGTTGTTTGTTTTTTAAGATTTTATTTATTAGAGAGAATGAGATAGAGAGAGAGAGCATGAGACGGGGGAGGGTCAGAGGGAGAAGCAGACCCCCTGCCGAGCAGGGAGCCCGATGCGGGACTCGATCCCGGGACTCCAGGATCATGACCTGAGCTGAAGGCAGTCGCTTAACCAACTGAGCCACCCAGGCACTCCCAGTTATTAAGTTTTATCTATGGTCTATTGAGCCTGCTTTTTCTTGGTTCCACTGGTTTAGCCAAGTGTTAAAGATTAAATGCCAAGTGTTAGTTGTCACACCAACTTTCTTCTGGACATAATCAGAAGGATTAAAGGAAATTGAAACGGGACACTTTCAATCCTGTGACACTGGAGTCTGTGTGCCCTCTGAAATTCACACCCACCTGGGTTCTCCTTCTGCCTGTAGCTTCAGATATGTGACACTGGGCAAAATTCTTTAAATTCTCTGGGTCTTTGCTCATTTTTAAGAATTAGGTCACAAAACTGTGGACAAGTGTTAAGTGGAAAGTGGTAAGTGCCCAGCACATAGTAAGCACTCAACAAATAGCAGCAGTTAATATTATAAAGATAAATTAAACACACTGTCTCTGGCCTGAAAACTCTCACAGGCTACTGGGCAAGCATACAAGACATATTGTTAGAGTATGATATTGGTTGTAAAAGAGCAAGGTGTAAAGTGGTTTGCTGGGCGAGGCTTCCCAGGAAGAGTTATATCTGGGATGGACTTTGAAGAATGGACCTAACAGTTCTTAGCTTTCCTTTCCCATGTCCCATCAGACAAATATCCACGTTGGATGTCAAACAATGGCTCATAGACAGATCTCCCAATCCAGTTTGCTTCTCATTGATTTTATACCCATTGCCTCCAAGCCCAGCACTCTTACAGACCTAACGTTTACTGAAAATCCACCTGGAGGCCCAAGCCAAAGAGGGACATAGATTTAAGCTCATAGCCCAGTATAATGGCCCCAATATTTAAAAGAAATGGCAGAGGGAGAAGGGACAAGTAAACTTTTTTGTTTTGTGTTTAGCTACACCCCTGGGCAGATGTTCTCAATCAAATCTGCAAAAGCAGAAGAGGTTTAGATCTATGATTTTAGATGTTTGATGGCCCATCTGAGCAACCTCATTTCAGTTTCTTCGACTGCCTGACAGGAAAGAGTGATGCAAACTTCTTCACAAACCATGTTGGAAAATGGCAACCCCATTAAAGTGAGGGAAAGCTTATTTAGGATATGGAAATGAATAAAAATATAGTAGGAAAAGCTATCAAATTGTATGTGTAGTGTGATGACCTTTATGCAAAATACATGTAATTATTTCCCCAACCCCATCTTCTAGATGTAGTTTTATTACTTTTGTAATGCAAACAACTAAATCAGTTCCTTTTTGCCCCCAGTCTTATTGAGATATAATTACCTAAGTCAATTCCCTTTTTAAAAATGTTTTTAAGTTTATTTATTTATTTATTATTTTTTTAAAGATTTTATTTATTTGAGAGAGAGAGAGTGCACTAGCATGAGTCGGAGGGTAGGGGCAGAGGTAGAGGGAGGGGGAGAAGCAGGCTCCCTGCTGAGCAAGGAGCCCAACCTGGGACTCAGTCCCGGGACCCAGGGATTATGACCCAAGCCGAAGGCAGACGCTTAACTGCCTGAGCCACCCAGGCGCCCCTATTTATTTATTTTAAAGATTTTATTTATTTGACAGCGAGAGAGAGAAAGAGAGCATGCGCACAAGCACAGTTACGTACAATTACATTTTAATCTACATTTACTAAATCTTTCTATTTTCTTTTTTTAAAACTGTAATGTTTAAGCCTTATAACAAAACTAAGGTGTTGACAGGTTAGTTATTTTGACCCAAACTGTAAGAAGACTGAGTTTCAGAGGGGTTAAATATGCCCAGATTTGCTAAATTCAGATTGTTCTCAGTCATCTCGTCATAATAAAAAATTAGATGGAGTTCATTTTCTTCTTCTAAGGTTAGACATAGGGAAGTTATCCACATGGTGTCTCTCTTCTTTTCCTTAAGATTTCATAAGGAAAGAAGGATAATTCTGAAGGACTTTCATATTTTCTTTTAAAGATTTTATTTATTTATTTGAGAGAGAGAATGAGAGAGAGCAAGCACATGAGAGGGGGGAGGGTCAGAGGGAGAAGCAGACTCCCTGCTGAGCAGGGAGCCCGATGTGGGACTCGATCCCGGGACTCCAGGATCATGACCTGAGCCGAAGGCAGTCGCCCAACCAACTGAGCCACCCAGGCACCCCGGACTTTCATATTTTCTAATGTGAGTGGGAAATAAGCTAAATATGATAAATCTTCTCTCAGCCATCCATAAGAATCTTCAAGAGAACCTCTTTATAATACTTGGAAATGTTTTCTACCCTGTAATTTGGTTTAATTTGCATATTTATTAAAAAACTAAAAAGTAAGGGGTTTGAGCCAGTGAGCTATTAGGCATAAATGGATTACAAATCTCTTGATAATAAAGCAGTTTTCGATCTCTTGAAAAACTAAACTTGACCTCAATTTCAGAAGCAGGAAGAAATGGGGAACTGATGTTTTTGGCATTAGAGATGTACCAAGTTCTGTTATGTTGCTCTTGTTACCCAGTACTTTGAATTTTCTACCTTTATTTCATGAAGCTGAAGCCATGTTTGTAAACAGTATTTGCTACTGTAGGCCATGCTGAGTGGGACAGAAAGCCCCTTGTTCTTCTCCAGGCTCCTTCCCAGCATTTGCACTCAGTTTCATACTGTTGCATACGAGAAAACATTTGCCCAAACTTGGCTTTGGAGAATGTGAGTTGGGACTTACGCTGGCAGCTTGCAGACAGCTGGTGCCATTAGTAACTACGAAAATACAGCGCTTTCTAAAGGCAGTTGTAGCCGTTAGGTAGATTATACAAGAAAATCAGACTGATTTAGGGCTCTCAGGTTTATTTTTTGAAGAAAAGCTAACCTGTATACTAAATTGTCCAAAGATTAAGATTAGCTAGAAATAAAACAGCTTTAAGGTGAAAAAGAATTTTAGGCAGCAATCTAGTCTACTGTTGCTGTTTTAGAAATGAATAAACGAGCCTGGACAGTTTGTGTGACATGCCCACCCACCTAGCTGGTGGCCAAGCCAAAACTAAAACCCAGGTCTCCTTAGTCCCAATCAGTGCAGAGCTATTCAAGGACTCCCACATCAGTTTTCTGTTTTCTGTGCAATGCTGGCCCTTTATCAGCCTCTCCTTGGATCTCATGTACAACCTGACAGAGCAAAAGGGCAACTGCCACGTTTCACTAAGTGTTACCCATTGGCATCAATGTTTGCACTGAAAAACTCTGAGGCAGGGTTTCCTTTGGTTCTTTTGGCGCCTTTGGGTTTGTTGAGACTACCAAGTATGAGGTTCGTATTGTGCCTTAATCTGCATCCCCCACCCATAACATATTTGAAAAATAATTTCATTGTGAAACAAGTTTCAGGTTTGTGGAAAAATTTAAGGATAGTACAAAGAATGTATATATATTCATATAACACAATTTTGAATTGAGATCATTTTATCCCCAAATCTGAACTCATTTAATGTGATAATCCCATTGTGACTTTAAGGGTACACATGGACAGGGATGCCTGGCTGGCTCGGTCGGGGGAGCATGGGACTCTTGATCTCAGGGTTATGAGTTTGAGCCCCATGTTGGGTGTAGAGATTACTTAAAAATAAAACCTTAAAAAAAAAAGGAGTACACATGGACAATAAATGCATTATAAGGGGAAACATTAATATGTCTTTTTTTAAAGTATAATGTCCAATTCAATAAATAATTCATTTTGACTTTGACATTTTGCCTCAGAAGTTGTTTATTAGCATTAAATACATTGTATGTCTACTGTGCATGAGGCAGTGGAGATAAAATGTTCAGAAACAGACATATAATTTCTACTCTTGGAGCGTATAACATAGTCGTTATTCACTGTATTTTCCCATGTAATCCAAAGGACACCAAAATGACATTTGCATAAAATCCTCAGGAAAAACAGAACATAAAGGAACAATGCAATATCAACTTTATTAGATAGGAAGTACATCATAGGCCAAAATTTTATTTTAATTTAAGATTTTATTTATTTATTTATTTGAGAGAGAGAACATGAGCCAGGGAGAGA